CTTGGGATACCATTGACCTTGCGGCTGTCCAGTTGGCTGAACAGGTTGTTGTGGTGATGCAACAATCACCACTGGACCCGAAGAAGAAGATGCAACAGTCTGTGCTGCTGCTGCAGATGTACCACTTGGTTGTGAACCAGCTTGAACTGGAAATGGGCCTGACATCGCCGATAACGGCAACGGCGATTGTGCTGGTGGCCTAAATCCTGGCCTTGTTAGGATGTCCAGGATCTGGTCCAAAGTGCTCTGCATGAAGTCCAACCTGCTGTCCACATGTGCATGCAGCGACAGCATGTTGTTCCTCAACACTTTCATGGGCTCATTCATTCCTGAATCATCTAAGCCCTCCAAGTCAGCCTTGTCAGACTCTAACGTTTCAAGCCTGGTTGTTCTATTCTTTATCTCTTTTTCTCTATCGGTAGCCTCTTTCAGATCCTTCTCTAACTGTGCACGGATCCTTTCGACCTGTTGGAGCTCTCTCATCTCCCTTTCGCGAGGAGTCAACGGGTTGTACTGCGAGCCCGCCATTTGACTTGTAGATTGTCTAGAACCTGTTCAACTGGAAGTGCTCGTGGACCCTGTTGGCATTCCAAACTGGGGTCCAGACGAGAACGCAGCAGAAGTTGCAGCGGAGGATGCTACTGAAGAAGTCATGGCTGCTGCCCTGGCTGCTGCTGCAGCCTGTTCCCTAGCTGCAAGGTTTGCTGCTTCTCTCGATGCTGCGAAAGCACAGGCTCTGCGTTCGGCACGAAGCCGTCTTTTTCTCCCTCGTCTAGTGTCCTGAACACGTACGGGATCCTACTCGATCTTGCACGTGTTAATCTACCATCCTCAACTCTCTCCTCATCGACGTCTGATCCGCTCATGAGTTAGGCAGACTTTATCTGCACTAGAATCCCCTAATGGTATCCTACCGCAGCATGTGTCTGACCGGCACCTAGTTTTCTAGAAATGGATATGTCCGGCAAGTCCCCTACTATACCGATCAAGTGGCATGTCTTCAACATTCACACAGATTGTCTACATAGTCTAAATGCACTTTGACTTGTTCACTTACAGAAGCATTAGTTAGAACTGGCTATGGTAGCATACAACAGTCCTACACTAATCTGTCTGTGAGGTGTTAGCAGTCTGTCCACCAACTAATCAAAGGTACAAAAGACAATGAAGCAGATGTATGATTGATGGGTATGGTTGTGTATACAGTTGAGCACCAATTAGAACCTACCCTCCCCTCCATCCAACATACCGAACAGCATCATTGAGCGAGCAGTGTCTTCGTGTGTGAATCGGCCCACCCCTGTGCCCAAGTTGTCACCGAGCAAGCCAGCCCAACCACTCTTATTTACCCTCGTACGGCGACGAGCCTTCCTGTCCATGTGATCTGGCTGATCAGGAGGAATTTATAGAGCGCCCCCATCTCTTCAGGAATTATTTAACGTCACAGTCAGGACGACGATGACAGCCAGATTCACAATGAGCTCCCAACCAGAAATATTTATAGACGGTCTGGTAAGCGTCTATCATGGGCTGGCACACCCGGAGGAACTTCTATTCGCGCAGCAAGTGCCAAACAGGACAGCAGCCATCGCATGCGTGCACTACTCCCTGTGGGTTGGCATGGTGACCGTGACCCAAGTGCTTCGACCAGGGCCCTTCAGAGGCACCGCCCTTTCTCCTTCCAGTATGCTTCCGGGAAGATTGTCGTCTCTCAAGGTAGCGCGCTCACGACACCTCACCAAAAGAGAGGACTCTCAAGTTGGACTCACTTCCTCACGGTAAGAAGAGATTGAGAGAGTAGATAAGGTAAGGGAACAACGTACCTGGAGATAGCTGCCCCCAACCACAGATTTCTCACCAATTGAGCTGATGTTGCATTTGATGACCGGTCATGACCTCDGTACCACCCACAACGCAATGCAGTGCCACCTTAGTCCAATGTCACATCAGCATGCTCTCATCATCAATCAAACATTCCGCTGTATCCCACGGCAAACAATGCCGTAATAGCCTTCCGGTGCATCCCTCTCTACCCAGGGCGTGCACCTATCAATGGCCTGACGTCACAAGTACCAACTGCGAAGAAGCATCATCAACGCACCAAGTCTGTATAACGCCAGCATGCCGAGGGTAAGTGGCGATCAAACCAGCTTCGATACCTAATTGCAAGGAACATGAGTATGGACGAAGCACAGAAATCCAGAATGCAAAATCACACTGAAGTCCAAGTAGTCAAAGCCAAAGCAGATAGCACATGGAACYGAGTAACCATCCAATTGAGAATGATMCAGAAGAATCGTGASTCAATGTCCATGTCCAACAGGGCAACACCAACAGCATAACCCCAATGTAGCTCTCCCTTGTGAATGGCGCCAGGCGCCCTATCTACTCTACAGCCTATCCTACAACTACAGCAATGAACAGCAACCAGACAACTTGACTACCAGCGAGTKATGATGTCAACACCAATGCCGACCTCCACCTTCACCAGGTACGTGTCCTCTTCCCCACACTCTCCCTTGTTACCCACACAGCGCCCTTCGCCTCCGAAGTACCACCTTYGCCCTTCMCCCCTCTGCGCCCTCTGCAGCCCGGCTATGGCCGCCAAGCGCCCAGTGCACAGGCAGCGCCCWACCGCCTAGCGCATGCCTGCCTTGCACTACCTCTTAGCGCAGCGCAGCAGCCAGCAGCTCGCATTTGCGCAGCGTGCCGGCATTGCCCGCAATGGCCAAGATCCTCGCTGCCTCGCCCTGCTTGCCTATATGCCAGTGCAGCGTGTGGGCGGCCTCCCTTCAGCCTGTGACCGGGGCCCAGAGGCTGAAGCCAACTCAATACAGTTGGGCCCCAGGGCAATGCAGTTGCGCCTCCTTCATCAAGGCCTGCGGCCACATTCAGACCGTGGGCCGATTTCCCTTTGGCATTTTCGGCCTCTCTACCCAGTATGCATTGTCGGACTCACGTTCGAGTGCCCAGGGCCTAACTAACTCAGAGGCCCTGGGCATTTCAGCATTTGCTGAAATCCGAGACTCGGTGCACTCCAACCAACTGGCGTGCTGCAACTGTATAGACCCCACTTCGTGAAATGTTGGCACAGAGGGCTCTTGTTGATTTGCTGGCCCGCCTTCACTTACGGCGGGCACTAGGCTTGCTGGGGCCTTAGCCCAGAACATGTACATCATGGCAAGGCCCCTACTTGAGGGCTCAATCCTCACACATTCTTCCCCACCTAGATTTGCTCTCGACTACTGCCACCCACCCACAGAGTGAAAACACTCAAAAGCTAAGCTGGCAATTTAACATATTTAAGCACAGGAAGTACTTGAACAAAAGAAGGCAGAAAAAAAAAAAAAAAAAAATCATGGAGGAGGTTAATGACATTAAATTTGATTGAAATAATTGAGAAGTCCATCCATACCTGGACCTGCAATGGCGCTATGCTGACCAGCGGCTCGATAGCAAGAATGATGCTCGGGTCTCCCTGCCACTGAAACATCAGCTCCATTGTCGCCTGCCCGCCTTTGCCGGGAACTACCTTTATGCCTGCGTCATGTACGAAAGAATCACAGACAGGCATCAAATATGAGCTGACACTAGCGGAGTCTATCCCTCACCCACCCACCCAGCCCACTTCCACGACACAGGAATCTCAGCACTGGTTTGGCAGGTAAGATCTAGTGCCACAAGGAAAGGTGAAAAGGTGCGGGGACCTGAGGGGAGGCACAGAGATGGGTCCTGTTGACATGGTCCCTGATGCTACCGGTTGTCCCCTGGCCGGTATCGCCCGCCTGCAGGTCGGGAGCAGCCCCCGCATGTTCTCTCGTGAACGTGGCTCTGGCAGATACGAGGTTCCCCGTATGACTAGAATTAGTAATAGTGGTAGGTAGGTAGTGTGAGGTGAAATTGAGAGAAAAATGTAGCTTAATTTAAAAATAAAAATAAAATGTATTTGTCTGCTAGAGCATGGAACACGACAACGGGCCTCGATGCACTACTCACCACATGCACAAAAGACAAAAATTATTGTCGTGTGTATTTTCATGATGTAGCAGAACATTGGGCCTCACTCTACTACTCTCCAAAAACGTGCAAAATGAGAAGTTGAGAGCGAATCCTCTGCTAGAACATGGGAAGCTCTCTTATCTTCTTTTTTTTTTTAACAAATACGAGAAATGGTTAACGAAGGGCTAAAAATTTGCCGTTTTCGCAGCAGCATCAAAAGCAACATAGTAGAAAACTTCGCAAACAACCGATACGAGGTTCGTAGTACAAAGTTACAAACATTAAAAAAAAAAAAAAAAAACGTGAAAAACACTATAGAACCCCCTAACACACAAACACTTTCTGAGTTAAGATACGCATTCAGCGATTTCAAAGCAATTCTAACGTTTTCTCTGTTAGTCCAAAATTCTCCAAATATGTACTAAGAACTGAATCCACGACATACCCTAAAGCACATACATATAACAAAAAAAAAAAAAAAGAATCACAAGAAAAGACACAAAATTCAGCCAATATGTCAATTTCAGTGAAAACAATCGCCGAAAATAACACCCTGTGTTAACCACGTGTGGGCGGAAGAATCCACGAAAGAAATGTAAGGCAGCTGTCACCAGGCTGCCCATCTCACAGTTGCAGAAGGCTTCCTGTCTGACAGCAGTTGGCAGGCTGACGGTACCACAGGCAAACAGCATGTCAGACGGATGAAGGCAGGCTGCTTTGCTGATGCCACTAACGGGGCTGCTCGTCTCACAGTTTCGCCCATGCCAAAGGGTTTGGTGCATGTCAGACAGCCTGCCAAGGAGTGGCAGGCTGCCTGTCTGCTGACACTGGTCGACAGGCTGTGTGTCGAACAGCTTCAATCCAGCCAAAGGGTTTGGTGCCCTCTGTCAGAGAACGTTCACCGACATGTGACATTCTTTCACGACTCTGCCGACTAATACTTCTCCCACTTAGTTCTGACGTACAGCTCTGCCTACTGACACTTCCTCATCACATGAGAGGATAATGCAAAAAGGAGAAAGACTCTCACTCACCCTGGACCTATGCGTACAGATGTGATGCAAATGCCAATACAATAGCCAAGATACAATAGTCAAGATACAATAGTCAAGATACAGCAGTCGCGATACAATGGTCAAGATACAATAATCAAGATACAATAGTCAAGATACAATAGCCAAGATATGACACTTCCACAGCTTAGTTCCACATACAATAGTCAAGATACAGCAGTCACAATACAGCGGTCAAGATACAATAGTCAAGATACAATAGCCAAGATATGACACTTCCACAGCTTAGTTCGACATCAAGTGAGAGGATAATGCAAAAAGGAGAAACACTCTCACTCACTCAATCTGGACCTGTACGTACAGATGTGATGCAAATGCCAATACAATAGCCAAGATACAATAGTCAAGATACCATAGCCAAGATACAATAGCCAGGATACAATAGTCAAGATGCAATGGCCACGATACGATAGCCAAGAGACAAAAGCTAACAGACAATAGCTACGAGACAATAGCTAAGGGGACAATAGCTATGAGACAATAGCCAAGACGTAGTAGACAAGTGACCATAGACAAGAGACCATAACTAAGAGAGACTAGCTAAGATACAGTAGGCAAGGTAAAATAACAACACCATGTACCAGGCCCAGGGGACAACACCGAACATACAATAGTCGAAATGTTGAAGCAGCTCCGGCATAACATTTAACATGCGGTCATCTCTTTTCACCCAATTAGTGGCACAATGACATATGCCAGAAAGCCAAGATGGCCAAAGCCAAGGAAGTATAACTAAGAGGGCCACAGAGCCACGGCGGTGGCCATAGCCAAGCTAACATAACCAAGATGGCCACAAAGCCAAGACAACATAGCCTAGATGCAGAGAGTCAACATGCACCATAAGTCCATAGCCACAAATACCATAGCCAAGAAACACAGATTGAAGCCAAGAGAATAGCGAAGAACCCTACCCCAAGGACAGTACATTCCTTCCTCTAACAAGAAGTCCAGGTACCCCTTAAGAATCCACGACAATACTCTGGCATCAAATCGACTGATGGCATGGACCATCGACAAGATGCCCACAACCAAAAGATGGCCATAGCCAAAATGGCTATAAAAACGACAACATAGCCTTATCCAAAATACATATAGCCAATACAACATAGCCATCCTTATCCAAAGTACATATAGCCCAGATAGCTATAGACATCCCATTGCCAAGATAGCTATAGCCAAGACACCATATCCAGGATTTGCACATTGAACCCAGGCACTCTTGAGAGACCCAACCCACGCGGCAATGCATTCCTCCTCATAATGGCCCAAGTATATCATCAGAACCCCTGGCCATTATAAGATCCAATCTCACTTGTTCGAATCAACAGGCAAGATGGTGGAGGGAAGACCTCCTTCTCCACTGTGAGCAATGCAAGAACAACGTCAACGGCCACAGCATCCACCATAACTGTACCTTCAATTGAAGGATTTAGGTTTCCTAAAGTCAGCTTCTTGAATTTCATCGACTTAATCCCTGGTGGGCAATAAGTCGCCAGAAGGGGTTCAACCTGCTCCTTGATGACCTGCATTGTCGCCTGGCACAGGACAGAGTTCCGACAAACATAAAAGTACGATGAGCATTCGATATTCTCCTAGGCTACTTGGCACTTGGCATGTCCAGCCAGGCACCTGCCCGGCTCATCCCGGGCAGCTCAACCTGTGAATTTTTTTTCCTTTTTCAGATCACCTGTGCCCACAGAGCCCAAGCCGGAATCCCAGCTCGTTTTAGTTCTTCACTGTTGTTGTTGTTGTTGTTGTTGGGGGAGGGGGCAGGGGGCCAGGAGAGGGTTATAAGAGGGGTTTGAAGGGGCATGTGTCTTAATTTGATCTTATTTTGTTTATCTTCGATTTCATAAGGAGTCCTGAGGTGACCCTCAGCCAAAAGTTGTTTGCATTGCAATTCTACACAACTTTCTTTCCCAGCTGCCAAGAACCTGGTCGGGACCTACACAACTTTCTAATACGACCCTCTCTCTCTCTCTCTCTCTCTCACACAC